CCCGCCCCCGCCTGCCCCACTGGCGCTGGCGGGTGCCTGTCCTCCAGCCTGACCTGGGGCCGCGCTCCGGGCACGGAGGCGGCAGCGGGCCCGCCTGGCAGCCCAGACACGACTGAAGACAAGGACGCCTGCTTTATTTGTCTGCGGACAGGGGCACACACGCTACTCCTCCAGCACGGGGCCATCGGAGGTGCCAGCAGGGGTGCCGGCGCCTGCGGTCTCTGGACTGCGGTCCCACAACGGGTCCCCTCTTCAGGCTCCAAGTCACTGCCAGGCCCGGAGTGGGCCTGCGTCAACCCTACAAAGGAGAACAGAGTTCAGGCCCACCAGGAGCGTGCGTGTCCCCCAGGCTCTGCTCCACGAGGGCCCGTTTCATGGAGAGGGTCCTACCCCGTGGGCCCCCAGGCCTGCACGCGGCCTCCTCACCTCCGTGCCCAGTGCCCACGCAGCACGTGCCCGTGGCCTCCCGCTGGCCTCCCACCTGGCACCCTGAGCACACGGTCTTGGCCCGGAGACCCAGCTCTCCTTTGCCCCTCGAGGTCTCCCCTCTGTTCTCTCCTTCTCAGCTCAGAGTGAACCCGCCCGGAGAGCCCTCACACCCAGGCGCTGGCCCGTGGGACACAGCACCTCGTGGGGCCAGAGCTCGCGCCGCAGCCCTGGGCAGGAGCCTTGCGTCTAAGACCTGCTCCCTCCCTGCTGCCCGGCAGCTCCCAGGAGCAAAGTGCTCTCAGGGACCCTTTAAAGCCGGAGGCTCCTGAGGCGAGACTGGCAGGGCCTGGGACCCCCCCACCTCGGCAGGGAGGGTCAGGAAGGAGGTCCACGCCTCAGGGCAGGGCCTCTAGGACAGCTGCAGTGCCCGCAACGTGGGGCTGGGGAGCGCGTGGCAGCCGGACCACCATCACCACCTACCTCCACTCACCAAAGGCCGGGCCCCGTCAGGCCAGCACAGGAGTGGCTGCCCTCTGCCCCCTCAGCTCTCCCCCTTCCACAGGGCAGCCGGGCCCTTTCCACGACCCCTACCCTGCGCCCTGGCCTCTCCACCCCCCCGCTGCCCAGAGGTCAGGACCGGTGGCCCCCCTGGACAGCAGGGCCTGACTTCACCCAGTGCTGACCTCGGACATGGCCTAGTGGCGCCCACACACCCCCTCCCCGCCCACGGCCGCGGAGCCCAGGGCAGTGGGAGGCCGCAGCTGACGCCTACCTTATGTGCTGAGCCGACGCAGTGCTGGTAGGCCTTGGCCAGGTCCGCACACAGCAGCACCTCCTGCAGGTGCTCACGGTAGCAGCGCAGGATCTGGGCCTGCAGCCCCGAGCACACGGGCTCCACCCTGCGGGGCCTGTGGAGAGGAGGAGGCGGTCTGGGGCAGAGCCACGGGCCAGGCACGGGGGCGCCGCGGTGTCCGGTCGCCCCCCAGAGAGGGGCCGAGGTGGCCCTCGGGGGACCCCGCCCGCCCAAGGCCTCCAGGGCGCCTCCCGCCCGGGTGTGGGCCACCGTCGTCTCCCCAAAAGCTCTTTTTCTGATTTCAAAACTAATACGTGCACGATGAGGAAAACTGGAAAAACACAAAATGCTTAAAAGAAAAAAACTAAGGTGTTCAGACTCTCACTTCCTAGAAGAGTATCACTGCAGCATTTTAGAGGAAATTACTATTTTTTCTTTCTTTGTTTATCACAGTAGGTTTAGAACCTGAAGCTAGACTCTGAACGTATTCATTTGAAGAATGATTTTATGTTCTCTTTTCAAAAATATGAAACAAAGATGAAAAAGGGAAATAAAGCTTATTCTCATCGGTCACCGGCGTCTCCTTCCGGGCGCCTCGCCCGCTGCCCCTCCCGCCCTCCCCTCCCTCCGGACCTCACACATGCTCCCCTGTACACGCACCCTCTCACACTCACATGCATGCACACACGTGTGCACGCGCACACAGACCTGTGCACACAGCTGTACACTCACTCACACACGTGCACATACAACCAGGCACATGCACTCACGCCCCCGAGCTCCTGCGTTCACGGGTTCAGGCCCCTGCTCCCTGCGGCTCTGGGCGGGGTTGCTGTCTCTCACCGCCCGCCCCGACCCCAAACCAGGCAGCAGAGGACGAGGAGGCAGGTGGCCGGCCCAGGTCCCACACTAGGATGCAGGGGCTCCGGGACACACACTCACAGGGTTTCCATGGTTTCTGGCAGGTCCACCAGGAACCTCGGAGCTGCGGCTAAGCCTGGGCCCCGTGTTGCCCTCCCAGGCTCGGGCGCCGTGGAGGCCTCGGCAGTGGAAGGACCCCTGCTCCTGTCACCCGGGGCCTGCAGGTCGACAGCTCCCCGGCCCCGGATCTACTTTCAAAAGTCCAGCCTTGCAGCAGGTGCTGGGCTGGAATGCTGGTTTGAACACAGCTCAACCTCCCACATCCATCCGTTAAGACCAGGAACAGAGGGCTCGGCGGCTGTCGTTACCCAGCTGCGGCTGACACGCCCAGTGCCACCATCCCAGCAGTGATGCCCACGGGCCCCCGGGGCCCGCGTGTGGGCTTGGTCCTCAGGCCTGCTGACCACACACTGCAGCCCCCTCCCTTCCCACCGCCACGCCCCACGCCCAGACAATCCCTGAGGAGGGAGTGACCATGATCAGCCAAGATCCGTGGCTTGGACGGAACTGAGGGTTTACAAGCTGAACAGGCAGAAGGTGGGGTGGGGAGCAGCTGCCACGCCCATGCTCAGGTCCACGGCTCCGAAGGTCAAGGCTGTGCTGGGAGAAGCGGCCCCCTTTCCCCGGAAGGCCCTGCCCACCACCCGGGATTCCACCAGGTCCTGAGGGCGCAGCCGGGGGACGCAGCGGCCCTACAGTGCCCACACGGCCCTGCTCCTGTCTGCACAGCGTACACGGGCTCGGAGGCTTCCTACCTGAGGAGGACACGCGTCTCTCCTGGGCGCTGACCTTCGCACGGGAGCACAGACGGGCTCCCGGGCTCCCCCTCCCCTCCCCGGCCCCGGGGTCCCCTCACCGGGTTCCATCTGCTGCTGTAGTAGGGTGACCGCCGGGCTGCCCAGTGCTTGCAGGATGCCCCTCCCTCCGCGTTCAAGACCCTTCTGCCACGGACACGTCCAATGGTGGGCCTTCTAAATGCCTCCGGACAGGCATCTCCTCTCTGCTGCCCTCGCCTGGAAACAGCTCCCTCTGCAGTTCCCTCTGGGCTCCTCCGTCCCACCTGCCCTTGGCGGGGAGCCCCCGAGGCCGCATCTTTCGGGCTCCATCCTGGCACCCGCCGGCCGTCCTCCCACACAGACCTCCTGCTCGCCTGGCCCTGCAGCCCCTGGAGCAGCAGCTCCCATCCAGCCCCGCTCCCGACGAACAGCCCCCCCCCACCCGTGGCCCTTGAGGGTGCAGCCAGCAGAGCTGTCGGAGCCGCAGGTCTCATGGAAAGGGGCGTCCGGGGACAGGACGGCCGGCAGCCTGGCCAGTGGTGTGGGGCTCGTCCTGGAGCCGCACCCTCTCCAGACCGACGGCGGAAGCGACTCACCCGCTGGCTGTAAGTGGGCAGAGCAGCGGCTTCTTAACTCTGCCCCCCACCTTCTGTCTTCAGGTCCCTGGACCAGGGCCCCTGTACGTTCTGAGGGCAAACCTCGCAGAGCGCCCAGGGGGCTCCCAGTTCAGGAGAAACAGAGGGAGGAGCCAAGCAGAATCCAGCCCCTCACAGCAGGGTCACCCGTGGGCCTGCGGACGCCACTCTGCGCTGGCGTTTGTCAGCCACAACGCGAGGAGACAGGGTGTCAGGAAAACGTCACTCGCAAGAAATTTCACCTGTCTGCCTGCAAACGGGCCGTGAATGGCATGGGGCAGGGAGCAGGCAAGGCTGGGTCACAGGGCTGGGGCCGCGGCAAGCCCGTCCACTGCATGCAGAACGGCTCAGGCTTTATAGGCTGCTTGGAAGGTACCCAGTGCAGTGACCTCTCCCGGGAGGGAGAGAAGCCCTGCGCCCCCCGCCCCCAGCTGAGGGACACGTTAGGATTCCCGGCTGGGAGGCTCTGGGGGGTGAGCGCCGGCCCCTCAGAGGTCAGCTCCCCGTGCTTGCCAGGCTCTCCCCCTCTGCACGAGGGGCTGAGACGCCAGACAGGAGGCTGCAGGGCAGGTGGGGCGGGCAGAGAGCGGCGCAGGTACCTGGCAGAGGACAGCGACGACAGGGGGCCTTGGGGCTGGGCCCGGGTGTGGTGCCTCACAGCTCACGGCTCACCCAGGCCCGATGGTGCTCCTTTCCCAGGAACCTTAAGGCACCCATCGCGGGGTCCCTTCTCCAAGCAGCCGAGAGACCCCAAGCAGGTGCCCTGGGGGCCAGTGGGGGGGGGCACGCAGGTTTGGGGGGCTTTGCCACGTCCTGCTGCGAGTTCAGGGTCAGGGGGCGAGGAGGGCCCATTGCGCAGCCCAGGACTGGCTTGTGGGGTCAGTTCTCAACACCCACACGGCTGCCATCTGGCAGTGTCACAGGCACTCAGGGACCCAGCTTCCAGCCCGCCTCTCCGACGGCCCTCAGGGCTGCACACTGACAGGCACAGAGACCACCAGGCGCTGTTGGGAGTGAGGGTCTCATACAGGCCAGCTGGCCTCGGCACCGTGGCCACCTCTGGGAGTGGGAACCACGACCCCAGTGCCACCTGTGAACCGAGCTCTACCCCCTGGTGGAAGTGACACGTCTCCAGGAGAGCTGTGACAAAAGGCCCACACGAGCCAGCAATCAGCCCTCTCCTTCCTCCGTCCAGGAACCAGCACTGCCCAGCAACCAGGCAGAGGGAACAGCTGGCCTGGGCGCTCCGGACCACTGCCCGGGAGACCGGCCATGTCGCTCTCACTGACAGGCACCCCGCGCTGGGAACCTGGCCCTCCCCACCCGCGTGGGCACAGAGGGCCCTCCTCCCTTTCCTTTGTCCCAAACACCCTAAACTTCTCCCCCCAGGGCCAACCCCCATCGATCCCAACAACACACACCCCAAACTCCAACGCTTGGACGCCCCCCCCCCCCCCACCGGTTCCCTGGAGACTTCCAGCCTAGCAGGTCACCCCCAGCCCGCCAATTCCTCACCACATTCACCAGCAAGCGCCAGGGAACCCACTTCCCGCCTAGTTTCCACCTTGGTGAGTGGAGTCCCTGTCGCTCCAGTGACCTAGTCAGAAACCGGGAGTCGCTCTAGACGCCTCCCCCCCCCCCCCCCACCATAGAAGCCTCCCTCTTACCTTCTAACTGTAACGTTCCTGCTTCTCTGCAATCTAACCGAAAACCGCAGATGTATCCACTGCAACTCCCAAACAGCAGGGCGGTCACCCTCTCTCTCCCTGGGCCTGACCCACCCCACCTGGGTGGCTCTAGAGGCCACTGCTCGTCCCCCTGCCTCCCGCTCCTGCACGCTTCCTCCCCGAGGCCTTCAGTCCCCGAAGACGCTCGATCACTCCTCTTGACCCCTGGCTCAGGCCTGCGGAGGCCAAACCTGCCTGTGTCCTGCCTCCTCTGCACCCCCTGCCGGCTGCAGCTCTGGGTGGTTCCCAGAGCGGCCGCCCCCGGACCACAGTGACCCTTCCAAAAGGGGCCCCTCCCCCTCTGGTGCTCAGGCCTTTGGGGCCCAGCTCTCCTGAGCTCTCCGTGCCACTCCCCACTCAGTCTGGGGTCTGCTTCCTCGTCCCCCTGCCCCGGTCCCCCAAGGGCCACCAGCACCCTAAGGGCACAGACACCCCTCCTTGGCATCCCAGCCTCACTACCCCTGCCTCCTACCTAGAGGAGGGGTCCTTGTGCAGGGCCAAGGGCACCCCCATCAGCCACCCGTCCTCTCCCCCAGCACCTGGGTGGGCTGTCCCAGTGGCCCTTCTCCCTCGTACCTTCGCTATTCCACTCTCTGCTGAAGACACACTCGTCTCTGCGGAGCCTAAGCAGATGGCAAACCCAAACCACTGCCAGTCGTGGCTCCGGCCCTCCCACCCCCAGTCCGCTCTCCCCTCCCAGAAGCTCTGCCCGGGGCTCTGCTCCCACCCCCCAGCCCAGCCTCATAGGTTCTCCCGGCTCAGGGGCCCATCGCAGCCCACCTGCCCCTGGAGGCTGGGGGCCCCGTCCCGACTCCGCTCCGCCAGCGCTCTCCCGCCACGCATGCCCCCAGGCCCACGTGGGCCCCCGCTGTTCCCACAGTTCTGCGCCAGACTCACGGCCGCTGTGGTCACTGCGGGACGAGCGGCCCAGTGGGTGCCCACAGGGAGCCGACACCCTCGTCCTCCTGCACCTCGTACGCTGGGCACGTTGTCCCCGACATCCCCAGAGCCCGCCCTCTCTACTGCGAGCACTGATTGTCCTAGAACATAAAGCAG